GGCTGAATCCTCTGCTCTCTGGAGCTCATAGAGAGAAGCTTTCTGCTGAATCTGTCATTAGTATTCAGTATGTGTGTGTGTGTGTGTGTGTGTGTTTGTGTGTTTGTGTGTGTCTGTGCTGCACCTCACACATCTGCGTCTGCATTTACACACAGCTCAGTGTTTGCAAGCCCGCAGATCTCAGGCAAAACACACCGTACACACGCTTACCAATTCATTCAGAAGCTGACGTGATTACATTAGACTCCTCTGTCTCTGTGATGGTGTAATCTGATTTGTGGAGATGTGCAGGTGAAGACAAAACCATTATTGTAGACTTGTGAACTTGAAAGGATTTTTTCTAATATTTACCCCAAGTGCTGATTTGCTGCTCGAGAAATCTGTGCTTTTTACTTTTTTATTTATTTACTTTTTGTGGAAAACCTCGAGACACGTGTGATTTATTTTTCAGGATAGTTAGAAAGAGCAGCATTGCTTTAGAATCATGGACAACTTATAAAATTACAAATGTCTTTATTGTTAGATATATTGCTGCAATTTAATAAACAAATAATAAATGCATGAATGAATGAATGAATGAATGAATAGATTAGTGGATAAATGAATGAATGAATGAATGAATGAATGAATGAATGAATGAATGAATGAATTAGTGGATAAATGAATGAATGAATGAATTAGTGGATGAATGAAAGAATGAATGAATAGATTAGTGGATAAATGAATGAATGAATGAATGGGTTAGTGGATGAATTAATGAATAAACAAACAATAAATGGGTGAATGGATAAATGGATGCATGGTTTGATGAATAAATGGATGGATAAATGATGGATGAATAATTGATTGAATCGATGAATGGATAAATTGATGGATGGATGGATGGATGGATGGATGGACGGACGGATGGATGGGTGGGTGGATGAATGCATGGATAAATTAATGGATAAATAAACTGATGGATGGGTGGATGAATGAAAGAATGAATAGATGGATGGATGGATGGATGGATGGATAGATAGATGGATGAATAAATGAACGGATAGATGGATGATTGAATGTATAAATGAATGGATGGATGATTGAATGGATAAATGAATGGATGGATGATTGAATAGATTGATAAATAGATGGATGATTGAATGATTGGATGAATAAATGAATCAATGTATGGATGGATTGATGAATGGATGGATGGATTGATAAATGAATCGATGAATGGATGGTTAATTGAATGAATGGATGGGTGGATGAATGTATCTATAAATGAACTGATGGATGGATAATTGAATAGATGGATGGTGGATGAATGAATGAATAGATGGATGGATGGATGAGTGAATATAAGGATGAATGTATGACTAAATGAACTGATGGATGAATAAATTAATGGCTGGATTGATGAATTCTTTGGATGGATGGATGAATGATTGAATGGATAAATTAATGGATGGATGATTGAATGAATGGATGGATGGATTGATAAATGAATCGATGGATGAATAGATGGATGGATTGATAAATAATTCGATAGATGGATGGTTTGATAAATGAATATGAAGATGAATGTATGGATAAATGAACGAATGGATGGATGGATGGATGATTGAATGGATAAATGAATGGAAGGAAGATTGGATGGTTAAATGTATGATTAAATAAATGGATGGATGGATGAATAAATGAATGGATGGATGGATGAGTTATTGAATAGATGGATGGATGAATTAATGAATGGATGGATGATTGGATGGATAAATGAATGAACAGATGTATGAAATAATAAATAAATGGATGAATTGATAAATGAATGGGTGGATAAATGGTTGGATGGATGAATAAATTAGTGGATGAATGAATGGACTGACGGATGGACAAACGGATGAATGGACGGACGGAAGGAAGGATGAATGAATATGGATGAATGAATATGAATGAATGAATGAATGACATTATGGTGTTTGTGAGTTAAAACCATACTAGCAACAAAGTTTTCTACTTCATAAATGAGAAGATGTCTCTCACATCTATATAGCACGCCGTCTGTGTCTGTTCTCCTGCTGGAGTTTCCTCCGAAAAAAATCCAGCAGGCTCAATCCATGCGGTTGCCATGGAAACGCACACACTCCTGGGTTTAGTGGCAGCTCTTTGTTTTATTAAACGCTGAAGAAACTGCGGCCCGTGATCAAGTGTCAAAACTGAAGTCAAAACTAATCGCCCTCCAGTAACTTTTTTTTATTATTATTTCCCAAACTATGTTTATCAGAGCAAGGATTTTTTTATATTTTAATATTTTTTTTTCTTCTGGAGAAATATTTGTTTTATTTCGGCTAGAACAAAAGCAGCTTTTAATTTTTTAAACACCATTTTAAGGTCAATGTTATTAGCCCCTTTAAAGTATCTTTGTTTTTAATTGTCTCCACAACAAGCTATCTTTGTACAATGGCTTGCCTAAGCACCCGGAGGAAACCCACACAGAAATGCCAACTGACCCTGCCGGGGCTCGAACCAGCAACCTTCTTGCTGTGAGGCGATTGTGCTACCCACTTTCTGTTGGTAATGTTTATTGTTTATGTTTATAAAATGTGTAAAATACAAAATAAATAATTTGCAAACAAGCATAATCAAAATTAAATAATAATGTTTTCTCTAAATGACACTGTTGCTACATCTGAGCTGAATATGAATATGTTTTTGGTGGCATCCTCCCACTCCTCTCATTAATTTCACATATTCTGTTTAAGCACAGTATTAAGCAGCAAAGGCCAGAGTGTGAATAACAAACAGCTCCATAAATCACCTTCGTCTCTCTGTCACAGACGGACGCTGAGCACTGAGCCGTGGATTAAAACGCTGGTCTGCGTTCAGATGCTCAGAGCGAGTGTTTTATGAGGACACACGTCCACAAATCATCAGTATGAAGTCAGATCCACGACTGAAGCATCAGTTCATTTAGTAGGGGATGTACAAACACCATCAGTCTTGTTGATATCAGTTCAGATGCTAATTTTGTCTGACTGCAGGCTGGATGTCTGCGCAGTCTTACACCTGTATGGATAGTCTTGAGCTTCGATTTACAAATGACTGATGAAAATAATAAGATGTAAGATGCTAAGATGTTCTGGGTAGTTGTCAGGCTGCTGGTAAGAGTTTTATGTACAAATCAATAAGAACCCTCATGTTTAGATGGTTGCTAAGGTGTTTTAGGTAGTTGCTAGGCTGCCACGAGGAGTTTTTATTTTTAAATAACAACACATATGTTTTGGTGCTTGTTAAGTGGTTGCTGAGGTGTTCTAGGTGGTTGCTAGGCTGTTGCTAAGAGCTTTTATACTGGTAAATAGCAACACATGTTTTTGTTGTTGTTAATGAGTTGCTAAGGTGTTCTAGGTGGTTGCTATGTTGCTGCTAAGAGATTTTATACTGGTAAATAACAACACTCATGTTTTGGTTGTTGTTAGGGGGTTGCTAAGGTGTTTTAGGTAGTTGCTAGGCTGCCACGAGGAGTTTTTATTTTTAAATAACAACACATATGTTTTGATGCTTGTTAAGGGGTTGCTAAGGTGTTATAGGTGGTTGCTAGGCTGTTGCTAGTAGTTTAGTCAATATAACACTCATGTTTAGGTGGTTGCTAAGATGGGTGGTTGTCAGGCTGCTGCTAAGAGGTTTTGTACTGGTTAATAACAGCACTCATATTTTGGTAGTTGTTAAGGGGTTGCTAAGGAGTTCTGGGTGGTTGCTAAGTTGCTCCTAAAAGATTTTGTTCTGGTAAATAACAGCACTCATGTTTTGGTTGTTGTTAGGGGGTTGCTAAGGTGTTCTAGGTTGTTGCTAGGCTGCTGATAGGAGTTTTTTAATGATCAATAACAACATTCATGCTTTGGGGTTGATAAGGGGTTGCTAACGTATTCTGGTTGGTTGCTAGGTTGCTGCTAAGAGGTTTTGTTCTGGTAAATAACAACACTAATGTTTTGGTTGTTGTTAGGGGGTTGCTAAGGTGTTCTAGATGGTTGCTAGGCTGTTGTTGGGAGTCCTTTTTTAATGGTCAATAACAACGTTCATGTTTTAGTGGTTGTTAAGGGGTTGCTAAGGTGTTCTAGGTGGTTTCTTGGCTGCTGCTAAGAGATTTTGTACCGGTAAATAGCAACACATGTTTTTGTTGTTAAGGGGTTGCTAAGGTGTTCTAGGTGGTTGCTAGGTTGCTGCTAAGAGATTTTGTTCTGGTAAATAACAACACATGTTTTGGTTGTTGTTAGGGGGTTGCTAAGGTTTTCTAGGTTGTTGCTAGGCTGCTGATAGGAGTTTTTAAATGATCAATAACAGCGTTCTTGTTTTGGGGGTTAATAAGGGGTTGCTAACGTATTCTAGGTGGTTGCTAGGCTGCTGCTAAGAGATTTTGTTCTGGTATATAACAACACATGTTTTGGTGGTTGTTAAGGGGTTGCTAAGGGGGTCTAAATCGTTGCTAGGTTGCTGCAAAGAGGTTTTGTTCTGGTAAATAACAACACTTGTGTTTTGGTTGTTGTTAGGGGGTTGCTAAGGTGTTCTAGATGGTTAATAGACTGTGGTTGAGAGTTCTTTTTAATGGTCAATAACAACGTTCATGTTTTGGTGGTTGTTAAGGGGTTGCTTAGATGTTCTAGGTGGTTTCTTGGCTGCTGCTAAGAGCTTTTGTACTGGTAAATAGCAACACGTTTTTGTTGTTAAGGGGTTGCTAAGGTGTTCTAGGTGGTTGCTAGGTTGCTGCTAAATAACAACACTCATGTTTTGGTTGTTGTTAGGGGGTTGCTAAGGTGTTTAGGTAGTTGCTAGGCTGCTGCTAAGAGCTTTTGTACTAGTAAATAACATCACATGTTTTGGTTGTTGTTAAGGGGTTGCTAAGGTGTTCTGAATGGTTGCTAGGCTACTGTCAGAAGTTTTTTTAATGGACAATAGCAACTCTCGTGTCTCGGTGGTTGCTAAGGTGTACTCTCAGAGTCAGAGTCAGTAATGAGGCCTCTCACTGAAGTCACTGGTCTCCCAGAAAGCCTTGCATGTTTAATTCATGGTGTTTTAGCACACAGCAATGGTAAAATGTATTTACCCATCTCCTCTGCAGTTCTCCCACCCGAGCGACTGTAAACAGACTCTGAATATCAAACGCTTGGCCTCTCCATATGAGTCCATTACATTAAAGGCCCGGTCTCACACTGATGATGAATGTGCATATCTGAATATCTACATAACTCGAGACGCGCTAACTTATGAATGCTAACTGTAGTTTAGTTTGTGGGTTTGGTAGCAGTGAGCATCTTGGAGTCACTTGGCGTGGGGAAATGTGCATTTGTCTGCTGTTATATGGGCTCGGTTGGTCAGTAAAATAAAGTGTCCACAGCACAGCTTTGGCCGGATGCAAATGCCTGTTTGTCCGAATCATTAACCCTGAATTTGAGTCACTGAATATGTTTAACCTTTCCGCTTCAGCTGTTTATTTTAACAGAAGTAATCAAACATTGTGACGGCAGAGCAGGCGATAGCGATATCTGACTCCTGCGATAAAGAGACAAACAAATAAAGATGTTTATGCAGGACACCACGAGCCTTCCTTTTTCAAGAGTTCACACTTAGCTGATGATTGATAATGAAGCTTGTTTGGCATCTTTTCCAAGTAGAGAGCCCTGAGCTTATAAGATCCTCGAGCACTGGGCTCCCTCCCGTTGTAGGGCGAGAGGGGAGTTTGAGCTCAGGTCATACCTGTCAACATTGGCATGTGAAAATAAGGGATGCCCACCATAATAAGGGATCGACATCTTTATATGTTATTATTATTAATTATGTGTGTGTGTCTGTTTATACACGCACCCAAAAGCCAGAGATTCTCTCCGCTTCAAATCGCATGTACAGAATCCGTTTGGCAAACAGCATCTGTTTATTACTATGGAGCGCATCAGCTGACAGTCATGCACCATTATATGACTGTTTTGAGGATTGTATAGGATGGGCGACGGCACCTGTAATCAATAGGAAAGGGAATCGTGCTGTTTTTAATATTTATTAATAAGTGTTTTCATTCCTAAACAAAGCGAAAGCACAGAACAGACTCGCGTTTAAGAGCAAGGGGCGACCCCTGGTGGTTCGGCAGTATGGGTTGCATATAGGGAGGCTCGGCTGTTCAGAGAAAGACTGAAAATACGGGATAAATACGGGAAAATACCTTTAAGGGATGATAGCTGGATAGAACTGTAAAATACGGGAGAATCCCACGAAAAACGAGAGGGTTGACAGGTATGGCTCAGGTAGATCTCGATGAACCCCCCCCCCCTGCTTTTTGTAGCTTAGTGTCAGATATGGATGCTGAGAAGGTGTACTCAGCTTGGCTAAAACATTTTGGATTAATTGTTTAGAGTGCTTGTTTTTGAACTGTGGGAGGAAACTGGATGACCCGGGGAAAACCCATGCGATCACAGGGAGAACGAGCAGAACTCCGCACAGAAATGTCGCCTGGTTTGGAAGGGAATTAAACCAGGGGCATTCTTGCTGTGAGGCAACAGCGCTAATCACTGGCCACCGTGCCGCCCTTTTAAAAGGAGGGAAAGTAGGGTTGGGTGGGGTGGTTTCTTCAAGACAATAATATTGAGATGAGAAAAGTCTGGTTATTTATAGTGAGTTAAGGTTTTTCTGATAGGATAATTAGTCATTAGCTAAAGATGGAACAGCTGTGAACAACCATAAGCACGTGATCCTCTCAAATTGGTTATCAATAAACTTCACAAAAAACACTTCATACATTTATTTTAACGTTATATTTTAGAGAGCAAATCACTTCATTTGAAGCACTAATGCTACAAAAAAAAGACCTAAATGAGAGTATAGACCAATATTTTTTAATTGCACAATGGCGCAATGGGTAGTGCTGTCAACTCACAGTAAGGTTTAAGTCCTGGCTGGGTCAGGGTTTCCCCGATAAGTCCAAAAACGTGTGGTGTAGGTGAATTGAGTAAGCTAAAATTGTCTGTAGAGTGTGAATGAGTGTGTATTGGTGTTTCCCAGTGATGGGTTGCAGCTGGAAGGGCACCCGCTGCGTAAAACACATGCTGGATAAGTTGGCGGTTCATTCCGCTGTGGCAACCCCGGATTAATAAAGGGACTAAGCCGAAAAAAAAAATATGAATGAATGACAAAAAGATTCCACCGAAACCCCCTTTGAAGCCAATGGGAGATCCCAGCACAGATGATGCTGGACTGAAGAGTTTGCACAATTCATCAGCATTAAAGATCAATAATCACACAATTTAATGTCAGCAAAAGCTGCTGAACATCATGAGGGCAAAACAAACACCAGCAGAGCCTGACATCTGCGATAAAGAGACAAACAAACAACAGCAGATCAGCAGAGAGCCTGAGGTCTGCGAACACTCACATCCACAGCTGAAGTCAGAATTATTAGCCCCCCGTGTATATTTTTTCCTCAATTTCTGTTTAAACAAGATTCCTGTATTATATCCTAATAAACCTTTTTTTTATATATATATATATGATACTACTAGGCAGCAATGTCGCCTCACAGTAAGAAGGTCGCTGGTTCAAGTCCCAGCTGGGCCAGTTGACATTTCTGTGTGGAGTTTGCATGTTCTGCCCACGCTGGTGTGGGTTTCCTCAAGGTGCTGCAGTTTCTCCCACAGTTCAAACACATGCAGTTTAGGTGAACTGATGAACTAAATTGGCCGTAGTGTACGAGTGTGTGTGTAAATGGCATCCACTGTGTAAAACATACACCAGAATAGTTGGCGGTTCATTCCGCAGTGGCTACCTCTGAAATAGAGACTGAGCCAAAGGAAAATGAATGAATGAATGATGAATGTAGGAATGATTTCCTTGTTAGATGAGAATATACTGTGTTACATCCTAACAAATCATTTCTTAAATGTTATTATAGTTTTTAAAGCGCTGAATGGGCAAGCACCTTCTTGTATATCAGAACTTATTAACTTGCAGTCAACTCCTCGGCCTCTTTGGTCGTCAAATAAAATTTTACTGCAAATTCCTCGGTCACGACTTAAACTGAAAGGAGATAGAGCCTTTGCTGTCGCTGCTCCACATTTGTGAAGCCAGCTGCCACCGGACATTACGAGAGCTTCTTCTCTCTCTATTTTTAAGTCTAGACTTAAGACA